CATGATACGCATGCATGTATATCTCTAACACTTATGATCATAAAAATTAGCACTCAGACTAAGAAAAATCCCGCTCTATGAAAATAAAAACCCATCTTGCCTAAGCCGGTGCTTAGGAGCAAAGTACAATACTGTATACTCCCTCCATACTAATTTAGTTGATGTTTTAGAGCAATGCACTTTTACCGATTTACTTGATGCTTTAGCTTCCCGACGCAACTGTTCCCTCCTTAAATTCCCCCAGCTGGGATCTTGTGCGCGTAAATAGGGACACGGACAAGCTGCTTATTAGTAAGCTCTTTGGTGGGAGCATGCGATCCGCGAACAGGAGTCTGGCGTAGAATTTACTGACTTTTACCACCCTGCCTTGGTTCCCCCTTCATGCCAAAACGTCAAGAAAATTGACAGAGTACACAAATATGCGGCCTAATAGAGAGCCCATGATTGGACCCGATATATTCCCTTTCCAGAAGCTTCAGCGAACGCAAGCGAGAGGAAGAAACAAGTCGTTAAGAAATGAAAATGAGAATCGTGCTATCCCGTTTGGTCAACTGTCATCAGTGGTGAGATGCGTGACCGCTGGGAGCATGCCGACAAAGGGCAAGGAGCGAGGCCCGGCCGGTCCATGGCGACTGTTGGCGAGGATATGGCTGTGATAGATGAACACATGGTGCTGCAGTGTACTCACATCTCGGAAGCTAGCGAGCGATCGCCGGTGGTGAGGGAGGGAGCAGATTTGACCTTTGACAAAGACGTACGTGCCCCCGTCTCAACTGCTACAGCGGCGCGCATGAGCCAAACTTTTACGTCGCCCCCAACTCTTGCAACTTGCGAGCGCCGTAAACTTCCGCTTCCATCACTGTGTAGAAGCTGACGTGGTACAGTTGGATCACTTGGGGCCTACCTAGTTGCATGCCTGCGTGTGGATTTTGATCCGGATGACGATTGACGAGAGGCATGCGTTTCGTGGGGGCAATTGAGCATTCAAGACTCTTACGGTTGGCAATAGTTCAAATAGACTTCTTTCAAATAAATTTGCTAAAATAGGACCGGCTTACGAGCAAAATTTGCTAAAATAAAACTCCAACGATGTATACCAGGTGTATACCTCGAATATTCCTCAAAAACAAAGTCTATTTTACCTTTTTTCTTCCTCTCGCCACCATCGTTTCTCTCAAATTCTGTTCGCCCTCCACCGATTCCGGCAACGAATCCATCCCTCGGCGCATGTTCCTCTACTGTTCCCGAGAAGCTAGCAACGAAACAAGGCCACAGGATCGCATCAGGAACATATTGGGCCAGTCGTGGTGTTCTAGGAGCCGAGAAGCTGCCGCGATGTGGTCCTGAAATTGCTTGGGAACGAGCAAATTCTGTTCTTCTTCACGCTTGGTAACATCTTCATGCGAATTTTTGCGAGCTCTTGCCTGCGTGGCGTCCTCTAAGTTTGTGGAATCCGTTGGATTGGCGCGTGAAAATTCGCTTGCTGATTGTGAAGATCAAAGCCACACTCAAGGTTCAGGCTTCAGTATTAGCTGGGGAAAAACAACGAGCTTTGATTCTCCATCAAAACAGCAACGGCGGCTCAAGCCCGAACCGAGAACTATTTCACCTAGTCACCAAATTCCATAGTGGATCGTTCAGCGGGATAAGAGTTTTTTTTTTCTTTCTCAAACGAGGTTGCGCACTTTTCAGTGGCAGCACAAGAGCAACAGCCACGGCCGCGATTCATCCAGGGCTTGGGCGTAGTGGCGGCCGAGCGGACCCGCAGCTGGACGGGACGGCGCAAGGGACACTGATGCGGAGCTCCGGCAGCGCGTCACGAGGTGTCATCAGCGATTCAGTTTCTTCTTCCTCGCCGGCCATCAGCATGTTCTTCTTCCTCGCCGGTGCCGCGCCGACCAGCTCGCCGCCGCCGCCATCCTAGGCGGCATACGAAGCCGACATACACTGCGAAGCAATTCACTCAAATCTAAGGATAAATAGGACATTTCGTAAGAACAGGTCCTATTTTGGCGAGTTCTGATGTTGAGCCGGTCCTATTTTAGCAAACCCATTCGGGAGAGGTCTATTTAGACGATGGCCATTTGCTAAATCATCTATTTCGCCGTTTCCTGGAGATATTGATAAAGCAACAGAAGGGAGTGGAAGATGCACTCGATCATGATTAACTACTCGATAATTAATTAAGCTTATTTGCCTTTCTCTGTAGCAGAGGCTAGATACATGATCATCATGACAATGTCTCCAATCCAAAGGGCAGTAATCTGCCTTTTCTGACCACGTACTGAGGTTAGAGCAACTCCAGCAGAAGCCCCTAAATCCAAGCCTCTACATGCCATGTAGGAGCCGGCCCCTAGAAAACGTATCCAACTCCAGCAACACCTCTTACATCCAAGCTCCTATATTTCTGGGTCCCACACGTCAGCCTCATCTTCCCTTTTTTTCCCCCTCTCGAACTCTTCCTCTGCTCTGCCGCGGGGACGACGACGGCGCGGCGATTCGCAGGCGAGGCGCACGACACGGCCCCGACGACGAGCAGGCACGCAGCCCGCCGCGTGCGGCCTCCACAGCGCCCCACCATTGTGCCACCTTGGCGAAGCTGGAGGGCGGTGTGGCGCACACAGGGCGAAGGTCGTCGACACGAGGGAGTCGCACGCCCCAGGACGAGCTCGCCCCGCGCGCCCCATGGCTGTAGTGGACGACGGTGCCTGGGCGGGGCGATTCAAGGCGGGAGGAGGGCGAATCGAGGCCGGCGGAGCAGCGGACGTCAGGGACAGTGCGGACGCAGCGTGAGAGAACGGCGTCAGCGGGGGAGCGGACCACGGCGACGGCGCGGGAGCGGGCTATGGCGTCGCCACCACGGCGCGCCGTCCCCGTGCACGCACCTCAGCGCGGAGCTGGATGGCGGCGCGGGGTGAGGAGGCGAAGGCGGGGTGGCTCGTCCATGGCTACCGCTCGTCGGGGGCGCGGTCTGGGCCACCTCGGTAGCCTCGTCGCAATTTGCGGCACGGCGGGCCGGATTTGCCGCCGAATCGAGGCGGGGTGGCTCCTCGGAGTCGAAGGCCGAGGCAGTGCGGGGATGGGGAGAAAGGAGCGGCTGACGTCGGGAACTTCCAGATCTGGTCGGGGCGCGACTGTTTGCGGCAATGGGTGGCCGGATTCGCGGCGCTGACGTGCGAGGAGAGACGGCGGCGATGGCGGGGCAACGTGCCGGGCGCGGGAGAGAGGAGAAGAAGAGCGCGCGCGAGCGATTGGGCGGGCCCCACCAGTGTAGCGACCCCGTAGCGGGTCGCCACATCTGGGGGCTTTGGGGCTGAATGTAGCGACCCCATAAGGCTAGGGGCCTGGGTAGGGGCTCTGTTAGAGTTCGTCTTTTTGGCTCAAGCCCCTACATCCCATCTAAGGGCTCATGTAGGGGCTCAGCTGGAGTTGCTCTTACGCAGCAAAAGGAGCAGAAGCAAGATGAACACTTGAGTTGATTAGCTGAGTCCGTCCTTTATGTTGCGACGATCGATTGTGCTCGATCCAAAAGCTGCAACTTTTTAGAGAAAATTAGCAGAACTACACTTATTTTTTGAAAGAAGTCTATTTTACTACCTTCAAATATTATCCATATAGAACTGACAAGGTTAGGTATGTTTCGTTTGAAATGTAATCTCAAAATGATTACTTTTTGAATTTGAAATGGGAAAAAAGTTTAACCAACTAATTTCATTGGATAATTAGTCTGATTGAGAGCCTGCCTAGCAGTGACGAAGCTGCACTGACAGAGCTCCTCTAGGGCCCATGCCCCCCCCCCCCCCCCCCCAACCCCCAACTTTCTGATTTTCTAAAATAAAAACTTGGTTTAGCCGTTTAGCCACTTAAATTCCACACATACACTAATATTTCTCTCTACTGGCCTCTTCTTAATTCTTTACCAAGCTCTGGTGTTCGGCGTATGGGGGTTTAAATTTTAGAGGGGTCTAACTTTAGATAAGCTATATTAAATAAAGTTTAATTACAAAACTAACTACAGAACCCTGGTCTAATTCGCGAGACGAATCTAATAAAGGTAATTAAGCCATGATTAGATGATGGTTACTGTAGCATGACTGTAGCAAAACATAGATTAATTAGGCTCATTAGATTCGTCTCGTAAAGATATACCCATCTGTAAAAGGTTTTGTCATTAAACTTTATTTAATACTAGATTTTCTTTATTTAGAAGCCTTTAAAATTTAGCGCTAAAAGAAACGAACAGGCCTACATTGGACGACCAAAGCAGGATAGGTGACCACGCCGCCCGCGAGTTCACGCACGTGCTCTACGAGGACGTCGCCTCTGACCCGACCCTGCCCTGCACCAAGTCCATTCGTTGTGCTGCCTGGGGCCACGGCGAGGCCGTCTTCTTCCAGGTCAGGGAAGATGGCCATCACGACATTTCACAACCAAACACATTTCTTCCGTTTGGTTCAAAGTTAACTTCTGACAAACACCACCGATTCTGATTAACTGTGCAGGCGACGGCGCGGGGCAAGGAAGGCATGACACTCTTCTTCATGTGCTGTGACCCCAGCCGCAGCCACCGGTGGCGAGAGTGACGTCGTGATGCAACCGCTGGTTGGATACAATGTGATGGCCCTATGTTAGCTTCCAAAAATTCTCTTGTCTCTGTTTGTTCCTCCTTACGTTTAGTATTAATGACAATAAAATCACATTGATAAAGTGATAACGACTTATGTGGAGGGCGGGGGGGGACGGTTGGCAAGCGACGGTGCCTTCGGCTGGGGAACTCCGGCGCGGATGTGCCTGCGAGTGGACGTAGTCTCTCGCGGAAGAGCGCCGGCGGCGCTGCTTGTTAAGGGTAGAAATCCAACAGCTTCGGATAAAGGAGAGGAAAAGGCTTGGCTAAATTATTTGAAATCATCCGGCTAGAATTCACCACCTCACTTTGCAAGCAAAGGTGTTTTAGTGAGAAAATATGGATGAATAGTTATCGGTTTTAGATCGGATTTTTTGGCGGCATGGTCAAGTGGTAAAGGCAGGGGCTGCAAATCCTTTATCCCCGGTTCAAATCTGGATGCCGCTTTACCGACTTTGGATGGCGATCCGGAATATTTACAAAACGCCTTTTAGATTGGATCGCGACTAATAATCGCAATCTAAATATTTTCAAACATCCCCCTATTTTGGATTGCGAGTAATAGTCACAATCCAAATTTTTACAGTAAGCCCCATTTGCGATCCAAATTTCACAAATTGATCCCTGCTTGAATCGGCTCCTCCCCGCTGCTGGCCGTCGGTTGCCGTCCTCCCAGCCCCATCACATCGCCGGAAGCACGATCGCAATCGCTCCCACTAGTCCGCCCCTCCCGATATCAGGCACCAGCTGACTAACAATCTCTGTGATAACATGCTCCTCCCATCTACGACCGGACGCCGGAGGTACACGGCACTTCGCCTCGGCGGAGCCGAGAAATCATATACCGGGACTCCGCTCTCACGCCCAAGCATGGAAGCATGGTCCGTGCCTCGCCATTGTTGCCTCTCGAAAAGCCGAACCCTGAACTACGGCACCGCTGAGCTTGTTTCTTCACTGCTTCTGTTTCATATCTTGTAACTGATTGATGACCAAATGAATTTCGGCTCTTTCATTCAACTCTTCTTATCTGCAGCCAAATTCAATGGGGGTGCCGGCTGCTGGCTGTAGTTATTATCTCTTATACTATGATTCTAATCTGCCTGTGGAGACTGATGAGGACTGGACCACCCGGCAAAAATGCATGGATGCTCACCTCACTCTGACATCTCGAGCTAGCAAATACAGAGTACAAGTGACACGGATGAGTTGCAACTTCAGAGATGCAGCATGTGTGGATGTTGACAAACATCATAGAAACTGATAAATGCTGCAGATATAGAGACTCGAAGACTGAAATAAGGGTATGTTTGGATCCGCCCAGATTTTAAGAATCCAGATTTTAAAAGCTAAAAGGGGTCCAAACAGGCCAGATTATACACCAGATTCTAGAATCCAGATTATGAGATTTTAAAAATCTCATAATCTGGCCTAACCCAGTTTTTAGGTGATTTTATTTGTTAAAAGACCCACTGCCCTTGAATGCTTTTGGATAATTACACCTTGTGCCACAACTCACAAAAAATATAGAAAGAACAAGCTGGTCATTAACTACCTCAGAAATTGATTTCTAGATTTTAAGAATCCATGATCCAAACACATCTACCCAGATTTTTTTTTAAAACCAGATTATAGAAACTACACCCATAATCCAGATTCTTAGAAGCTGGTGAGGATCCAAACACCACCTAAAGCGTGAGAAAATTAGACTGACAGTAACAAACTGTAAACTGTGTTGTCGGGCATCAGGCAAAGTTATACATTTTCAGTTCTCTAGTCTCTTTTAAACTGAATGATCGAAGCAATTCCAAGGGGTCAACCCGTCATTTGTTCCTCGAGGCTGTGACTTTTCCACCCTGGTACTTTGTAGTCCCCTGATGAACCCAATTTTGAGCTTTGATGCAAACAGAATATCCGCAAACTTTGAGCTTTGAGCTTTGTAGTTACTCGGATTTGTTCTGTCACGTGGAAAGGAAAATTCAACATAACTAATTTCACACACATGACTCAGTTGCAGACATTACTCTGAATTGATCTGTCATGACTAATTTCGTACACGACTCCCTTGAGACCATTGATCGCCCTCACCTGAATTTAACAACTACTAGTACTCTGACCAAAGAGAAACAACTACTTGTACAGTCGTAGACCGTTCTAATCATGAAACCAAGAACTGAAAAAAAAATTGCTTCGCCAAATGAAGCTATCTTCGTAGGTTCATCCGTTCACCGATGATTCAAACAGAGCTTACAAACGCACCAGTGCAGCGTCTCTAGGCGGGCGACCACCGTGAGAGGCGGGGACGTCCAGAACACGCTAGGGGGCAGATGTGACAGAAGGATAAGGACGGCATTGCACGGCATGGGCTTCTGAACGGACCAGCCATGTTTTGCCTGCACAGCCGCCCGCCGCCGCGTCGACCGCCGACACCGGCGCCTGGACGTTGCAGCAGCCGTTCCTGACCACCATAAACTATTCAGGGCATGTGGCCGGTGGTCGCCATGCCCTGAAGGAAGTGTCGAATCCTCCGCGAGGAAGAGCAGAGAAGCTATGGTCAGACAAATGGAACTGCCGGCGTTGCTCCGAGAGGAATCAGTAGTTGCGACTGAGATTTGGTCGCACACTGCCGCAGGGTGGTCACCACCACGTGTTCCACCGCGAGCGACAACCGCTGCTAGCTCTCCTTCTCGACGATGGCGCACACGCAGGAGTGCGCGAGCGCATGCGCCGTTCAAGGCTCGCTGATTGGAAGCAGCAGGTCATCCATGGAGGATGACGCTGCGGACACTTTCTACGTCAGGGAGATGACAATGGCAGTCTACGCACCGCGACTCTTCGTACGGAACCCCGTTCTTCTCCCAGGATCAGGAGTATGTAAGAAAGAGGCGGCCGGCGCGGCGCGCGGTGGTGCTCTAACGTCTCACGGCGGGGAGCTGCGGAGGCAAGTCACGCGACCCAGGGGCCGGTCGCTATTTCGAATAGCGTCCGGTCGGTCGTTATTCGAAATAGCGTCCACCCCGGGTGCCGGTGAGCCGTTCGATCGCGGGCACCCGCGTGCGGATGGGCAGGAGATTCCTCCTAACCGGCCCACGAGGCCCACTGGGTCAGCACCACTTCCCGCCTTCTTTGCCCAAAAACATCTCACTCCACATCCCGCTCCCGCCCTGCCGCCGGCAAGCCGCGATGGACGAAGACGCGGCGATGGGCGAAGCCCGAAGCCGAGACCTTCGATCCGGTGAGTTGTCCTGCCCAAATCATCTCCTAATCTCTGTCTTCAAATTCGCCTTCTGGCTCTCGGTCTCCGAGATGTTGGGTCCGTCCGATGAACCGCTGTTATGAGCTGTGACGTGTTCGGGGGGATTTGATCGAGCAGGAACTGGTCCACGCGATCTTCAAGCTGGTGTGGAGAAGGCGCGCCGAGAGGAGCAGCGGTGGAGGCGGGGACGATGTCGCCGACGGCGAGGTGATTTGCCGATCCATTCCAAACCCTAGATGTCCAGATTTTTCATTTTGGGCCGCCTCTTTTTCCGCTTTTACTGATTGGTAAATGTTCGTGCTGCTGTGTATCTCTGAATTGGGTGTCCTATTTTCCATTTGGCAGCCGGCTCCGGAGACGTCAAGAAGAAATCGGAGTACAAGTGGTGAGTGTTCCTTTTTTTTTTTTTTTGGTATACTACTGTGGGGATTTGTTAGATGCACTGCTTACATATCAGCATACTTTTTAAACCGCAGTACGAAACAGCTTGTAGTGGGTGCAGTATTGGTCTTTGCTGAATCAAAATCACCAATTTGCAAATATCCCTTTAGCCAATGTTTCACCACTCAAGTCAGTTGTATCTTGGAAACTTTGCTTAACAGTTGCATCTTGACAAAGTAAATTAGTTCTTAAAACTTTAGCTTGCTACTTAGGTATATGCTTACCTAGTATGGCATCACGATTCATAACCAGCAACATATGTCTGTACATATCAAATTTGTAGCAGGTTTTCAGTATTGAAAGCCTTGCACTTAATTGATACTGAAAGTGAAACTGACCAGACAGTCGTCTGCTCTGATTATTGGTTATACAGAAAGCACTTGTATTTCTCACCTGGCTTCAAGAATTCTTTCAGCTTGGCACCTTTTTTCTGTTCAATTAGACAGCTTTTATTTTTCTGGTGCTAACCTTTTTCGTACAGTTGGCATAATATCACCTAATTTTGCCCTTGGTATAATACCAAAGGATAAAACTATTTGACCCTGTCTGGTGGAAATGGACTTTGTACAGATCCAAGCACACGTGAGTTTTGTTTTTGTGTTCATGCCTGTCTGGGATAGACACGACTCTTAGGTTTTGTACTTATGCAACATATGATCTGTATTTTATCTGTCTTCTAGAATTTTGTGAGAGGTTCCTGGACCCTTTGTTAACAAAACCTGCCTTTTACCTTGGGTCTTCGTTACGGCTTGCTTATTTGTAGTAGTATGTCACTGATGGATGTAATGAGCTTTGGCGAATAGAGGGTTTTTTTTTATTGCAAAACTGGGGAACTGGGTTCCATTTTCAACAACAACAAAAGAAAAAGTCAAGCATTGACGCTTGAAAAGAACTAGAAATCTTGGTCTATGTTCTTTCACCCTCATGCCTCTATTGGACAGTATACAGTTAAACATCACTTCTGTGAAATCCTTATTGCTTATTGCTCATGATATGCTGATGCTGACATGCCGTTCACTTGGCAGCCAATGCGAGCGCTCTGAAAGTCAGTTGTGAACTTCTACGGATATTTGTCACAGGTTTGTACCTCTGAAAAATGCTGCATAGCCTCATACTAACAGGTAACAGAAGTTCCATTTCTGTAGTCTGACTCTACAATTTCGCTGCAGAGGCCATCCAACGCTCTGCTTTTATTGCTGAAGCTGAGGAATCTACTGTCATTGAGCCCACCCATCTGGAGCGTGTGTTGCCACAACTGCTTTTGGACTTTTGAGGTACTCAGGGCTCAGGGAACTTCCAAATCCATTTCTTTGTGTTGCATTAAAATCTGATTACATAAGTGTCATCAAGAAGATAAAGAGGCCAACAGTTTTTGTACGAATGCACCAGAAGAATTTTGTGACTGATTCTTGTCTTTATAAACACACGCAGGTTCGACATCAGCGAAGCTTGGCAAAAAGGAGAATGTTGGATACTACACTGGTTGATCAGGGCTGCAGACCAGTTTTGTCAGCAGATGCTGTCCAGTACTACTATGTGGCTTAAGTACTACTTGAGTTGTGAAGCAGTGTAGCTTCAAGCTATGGGGACACACGGTTGACCTCGTTTGTTTCAGTCGTCATATCGTAGACATCCTGCACAGAAGTTCAGTCTAGAAATTATCTGAACCTGTAGCCTTATCTTGTTGGTCGTTCTGATTTTTGAATTCCTGATTCTGATTGTACAATGAACAAGCATGTTGGAGCAATTTATC